ATCCAGGTCATGGAGAGACGGGAGGGTTTAGGCAGCTACAGGCTATATATTTGAGCTCTAGGTGGGACGGGGAGCTCATTCCCTCTCTTTACTTACTATTTCAGATCCAAATCATATTTATTATAATTTATTGGGCAAGATAAGAGTGTTTTACCAGCGTGCCACCTCGGGGGGAAATCTCAGTTTACAACAGCGGTACGAAGGTCCCTACTCTTTGTCCCATCCAACCACAGGGCCTTCTTTGTCCTCATAACTCTTCTCCTCTAATACACACACTGCTGAGTGTCCCGGTCTTCACCCTTTCATAAAAACACACACGAAAGAGGGACAGTCCACATGACTTCCTATTAGGATAGAGAACAAGATATTTGGGGACCTAGAATGGAATCATTCCCGCTGGATACCAGTGGTGATGTGCTGGCCACGTCAGAGGGAAATCCTTATTGGTCAAACAGGAAGGGACACATGAAGATCTCAGCTATCGGTCATTAGATTCTGCCCCTTGGTTGGGGACATGGATGCTGGTTTCAAAGTGTGAGGTGAACAGGGAGGGATACAGCCAGGCATCAGACGTAAGTAAAATGAAGAACTCAAACATCACCAGGGTTTTCTTGCCTTTATTTACGTCACTCTCCATTAGTACCTGTCTGAAAAATCCCTAGGGAAAAGCTGTGGTTGGTTCACTTAAAGCCTGGACCAGCTCACTGTAGCCTGGGGACAGGGTTACCCAGGGAGGTGGTGGTCCTGTCCTTGGGTGAGTCAGGAAATCCCCATGGTCAGGGACACAGAGTGTCTACGGCGTAAGTGTCTACTACACAAACATACTGGACGAGAGTGGGTGTACTTACAGATGTCACATTTCAACTGATTCAACTAAAATTTTAAATTTGGAAAAATCTGACTCTCTGATTGCTAGTTCCAATATTCCACCTCTTCCGTTTCCTTATTCCTCTTAAATTTATTATTTCTTAGCATTACTAACATTTATTTATTTATTTTTGTTAATTCTCACCTGAGGATATTTTTCCATTGAGGGATGGAGAGAGAGAAACATTGATGTGAGAGAGATACATTGATTGGTTGCCTCCTGCATGACCCCAAACAGGGCCGGGGATTGAACTTGCAACCCAGGTACGAGAGCTTGATCAGGAATTGAACCCACAGTCCTTTGGTCTGTGGGCCAGCACTCTAATCGCTGAGCCAAACTGTCCAGGGCTATTTTATTTTTTGATTACAGTTTGCATTCAACACTAGTTTGTGTGAGTTTCAGGTGTGCAGCACAGCAGTAGATTTATTCTTCGGTCTCATCAGCCTCCAGCATGTATGGTTCTACACAGGACCTCTTCTCTCCCAACATGCACCTGAAATATACACGCTCACAGAGTTCGAGTCTTGCCCCGTGCCCTTCTGTCTACTAGACACTTCGCACTCGTTCTAATATTTAGGTTCCTTCTTTTTCTGATAGGTCTGGGTCCTACATGGCCCCAGAACTCGAAACACCTATATGAAGCTTTTTCTCTCTCTTTTTTTAAAATTCTTTTTTCTTTATTGCTTCTAGAAAGAGGAAGGGAGAGGGAGAGAGAGATAGAAACATTGATGAGAGAGAACATTAATTGGCCGCCTCCTGCACACCCCTCCCTAGGTAGGTATCAGGCCCACAACCTGGGCATGTGCCCTACTAGGAATCGATCCGGCGACCTCTTGGTGCAGGGGTTGACGCTCAACCACTGAGCCACACCGGTCGGACTCTATGAAGCCTTCTTATGAGCCTTGCACCTGGGCCATGGAGGCAGAGCGTGGCTCCTGTCCACTCCACAGCCTCGCTGTACCTCATCTGCTCCTGGTTTACCTTCTTCTCTGCTCGCCCTTCGTGCCAGTCCCCAGCATTCCCTGGGGCTCCTTTTCTTCACTTACCACTTGGGAGACTTGTTGAGTCTATTTTCTCCTCTTTGCTTCCCCAGGTTGGCATGTATTGTTGGAAAAAATTGCCCCAACATACAGTTACAAAACTGAGAATCTGTGGTAGCAAACCTCTGTGAGCCTTTTCAGGACTTGGAATGAGGATATGCTCACTCGGGTCTCTGTCATCCTGCCCACAGCAGCGGACTGTCGCGTTTAACATGTATCTTCTGAGCTGTATGTCATGCAACTCTAGTCCTCTAGCGCAGAGTAGGTAACTAATAGATGCATAGAATCAATGAATCCATGAATTATCGACTGGAAAGATGAACCTTTCATAGGGAAAACAAGAACAGGAATGCAAACTGAGATATATGTATTGCCCTTGAGTTCTATTGGGCACCTTATGGTAAATATTTATTTCTGCATATATTTAAAAAATATTACAAAAAATAAGGAATCCACCTAACCTCTAAATATTTTCATGAAGAATAAATCATCCCATCCCATCCTATAACTCTGGTAAGTAGACTCTCAACCTCAATATTAATCTTGAAAATGCAAGATTAGTCATTGCAGTTATAAATATCAATTTCACATAATGGGATGGGGAAAAGTCACAATGTAATTTGATAAAAAGGAAAACAAGCTTGGAACACGTCATTCACACCAGTTAATAAATACATTAGGTAGAGGGTATCTAAACACAATTATTTACCAGAACCCTATCAACTGTAGTTTATCAAATGGTTCAGTAAGTTTATAGTATTTGTAATCACTTGGATTAAGAAGACAACTGAACAATAAAAGAACTGTCATAAAGCTGACTCAGAGGGATTTCAAATAGGATAAGTTTACACTCTAATTTGGGAGCCAGAATTGATATTTTAGAGTCAATCCTTTGTGAATATTGCAAGGGACCTTTGGAGTTAGTGGCTGGCTTTATGTGAGTGAAGTAAAACGGATATAAAAGGGAGGCAGGATGAGGACGTGTAACCACATCATGCACAAAGTAACTCTGTCCCGGGGACTGCAGGGGGCGCTCTTCGGGGAGGTTCCGCCAGCCCACCAGGCCTTTCTGGACAGCAGCCCCCCCCGCCCCCCGCCCACACCCCCATCAGCTACTTTGTAACCCGCCCTTTGGCCACGGTCACTGAGCCTGGTCCGTGTGTCTCCAGCAAGGGCCTCCAGGGACCGGGATGAGGCACTGCCCACCGGGAGCAGAAGGGCCCGCACTTTCTCCAGGGCGGGGTCCTCCCTGCCCGGCCGTCTTTGCGGTGAAAAGTTCCCTTTCTGCTTAAGTCTAGTTGGCCCTGCTGCTGCGTCTGACGCGAGGAAGGTTCGTGCATGGCGCTGCACTGCAATGGTTTCAAGCTTCCTGCAAACTGTTTGGCAACCTGTACTGAGAATATTAGAAATGTTTGTATCTGTGTGACCAGTTGTGCCACTTTGAGGAGTGTAGCATGAGTACTTCGTCAGATTCATGTTTAGAAAAATACTTATGGTGTAGCAATCTACTACGTTAGGACATTAAGTAGAAAATCTGTGCTATCCACATTATGACTCCAATATCATGATTTATATATGTGCGTAGACTAAGGAATACAAAAAAAGTTAAAAAAAAATGCACCCAAGGGGTAAAAAAGGTAATTTTTGAGTGAAAGATCTACACATGACTTATTTTTATGCTTTTCTGTATTTTATAAATTTCCTGCAGTGATCATCTATGGAATTAGAAAAATCCTATTATTAAAAAATGTGTAAAATAATGTGTTATTTTAGTATCATAGGAATTAGTTTTTTCTTTGTTACATAAAAGATTCTGGAAAATTCAAAATGAGGCATTTATTCCACAATGCGCAGTGGACTGAAATGTATTCTTTATCATATCAATGGCAGGATGTAACATCTGTAACCAACAGTACTAAATGATCAGCTGTATCAACACTCAAATGGAAATATGTTCGTATTCATGGTTGCCATGTCTTAAAAATAAATCACCATCTATTTTAAGTAACAAAGATAAAATACATTATAATAAAATTATTTTATTTTAATGTAAATATGTTTACCAGATTTTAATAAAGTAACAATAGTTTAGAGATACAGATGTACATATACATATATAGGTAGAATATATACTTTTTTTTTTTTAAACAGTAAGGCATACTTTATTATATATAATCTTTTTTACCACAAGATGTATATACTTCTCAGATATGAAATGAAACTAATGTCTAGGAAGACACCATGACCTGGGACCAAGGTTAACACCTTTACAAGTAGTTTAACTTTTCTATGTGGCTTTAAGAACATCTTTATACAGACAAGCCATCTAGCTGGCATGTTTTTGGCAGTGTGAATCAGTAAGACACTGGTTGAAGTTCACGAGTTTCTGAAACTGGACACCTACTGCTTAGCCAGTCTCTGTGGGAAACGTGGGGTGTGGTAGCAGGTGCCAGGGGACCACAGTTGCTACTGGCTAAACAGGCACAAAAGCTTTCCTGCCCGGTGGACGGCCTGGCGCTCTGAGCTCCTGCCGCTCCTGGAGAGGGTCAACCCAGTCGAGATACCTGCACGTGGAGATCAGAAATAACGACGGACGAGGCTGGGAGACGGCCCTGCTCCAGTAACATGTCTTGAGTGGCCATCGGGTTCCGACATTGATCATGGAGCAGCCATCATGGACGATGATGCCAAGTGTGGCAAACACGGCTTGGCTTTGTTTTGTTGCAAAATCTTTGTTCAGCCCGGCTGGTGTGGCTCAGGGGTTGAGCGTCGACCCTGCACCAAGAGGTCGCCGGTTCGATTCCCGGTCAGGGCACATGCCCAGGTTGTGGGCCTGATCCCCAGTGGGGGGCGTGCAGGAGGCGGCCAATCGGTATTCTCTCTCATCGATGTTTCTCTCTCTCTCTCTCTCCCTCTCACTTCCTCTCTCGAATCAGTAAAAATGAAAAAAAATTCTAAAAAAATCTTTTGTTCAGAGCTTTAATAAAGTCAGTTCAGTCCACATAATCCACTTTCTTCTTACGTTTCTGGAAAGTAGCGGATGCTGATTCGGTAGGGAAGTGCCGGAGAGGACTTCCTTCCCACGAGGGCTGTTACTCCACCTCCACGCACGGGGCAGGCTTCCTGGTGGACGAGCTCCCGTGATCCGAGGGGCGGTAGGAGAGCGTGCTCATTTTTGTGGACAGACTTGAGTGGGACCTGGCCTTTGGAGGGATGTACTTCAGAAGCTGGAGAAAATATTTTTTAAATTTTTTCCCAAGAAAGCCGTAGAAGAGAGGATTCAGGCAATTGTTAAAATACGCGATGCAAATAGTGATGGGCATGGCGGTGTCGACAATGTCTATGACCCTACAGTCTTCTATGATGCGCAGGTGGATCAGAACGTCCAGGAAGGTGAAGATTTGATGGGGGATCCAGGAGAAGAAAAAGAAAAGCACAATCGCCATAATTATCTTGAAAATATCATCATTTCTTGGCTTGTTCTTCTGGATTTCATAAGCCTTCTTGAGGGCTTTCCAGATGAGAGTATAACTGGTCAGAATGATCAGGAACGGGAACAAGAAACCCAGTATATTCTTGGTTAGGCCCAGCCCCACCGGGAGGGTGGAGTTCTGGAACTCGTAATGGAAAGCGCACACGGTGATGTTGGTGTTCTCAATGAAGTACACGTTTCGGTGGATGACCGACGGCAAGCTGGCCAAGGCGGCCAGCAGCCAGATCGTGATGCAGGCGGCCTTGGCCATGAGCATCGTGCGCCGAAGGCGGGACTTCATGGGGTGGACGATGGCCAGGTAGCGGTCGATGCTGAGACAGGTGAGCAGGAACACGCTGGCGTACAGGTTGAAGCTGACGCTGGCGGACGCGATCTTGCACAGGGCGTTGCCGAAGGGCCACCGGTACTCCATGGCGGTGTACACGGCCCACAGGGGCAGTGTCAGGAGGAAGCACAGGTCGGCCAGGGCTAAATTCAGGAGGAAGACGCTGGCCACGGTCTTCAGCTTCATGTAAAAGTAAATGACGATCACCACCAAGCTGTTTCCAAAGATGCCCACCACGAAGATGATGCTGTATAAAGTGGGGATCATGACAAATATGTAGCTGTGCCGCCCGGATTTGGGACAGTCATCTTGGATCCTTTTAATACCGTCTTCAGCGGAAGAGTTGAGCATCATTTTGGCCTCCGGGGTTAAGTAATCTCAGACGCGAATACCAAATGGCCCTGGAAAAAAATAAAAACGGAAAAGGTAAAAACTAACGTTCTGTCGTAAACCAGTAGTTTTGTATCTCAACCATAAGTACAGTAACTTGACTTTGGTTTTTGGGAAAAAGAAAGTAGATCATATTTCCTGGAGAAAAACTGTGAAGTGATCAAGTCTAGATTACACATTTAAGTTAATTTTTAGAGCACATTGCTTTTCTGGGAAGTGATGGTATCCTCTAGACAAATAGCAGTAGGAGCCTATGTGAATAAAATTATCTAGGTTCTTTGCGTTTTTTCTAGAAGTAAATCCTAGCTTCCAAATGGATTGAAAAACATAATCTAAACCTCAGAACACACTACTGACTTAAATTAGTCACCCAGAAAGACTTGAGTTTTTTCTTGAGGTGAGCAGGGCCAGTCCATTTGTCTTTAATCTCAGAAGAGGGACGCGTCTGTATCTTGTTTTTTAAACAATTTCTTTCGTCTCCCAATCTTTACTTAGGTTAAAAAAAAAATTATTAGCGTGCTCCCTTAAGTGGTCAGAAGAGGTGTCTAGCGCACTGAGGAACGGCCACGCGGGAACTGATGGAGGAGCGGAGAGGGAGCGCTCCAAGTGGGGGTAGCACCCTTCCCATGGCTGTCGGGCGCCTCGGGCAGTAACCACATCTTTAACTTCCAGCTCAGTCCAGCACAAGGCTCTGAACCTCCTACCTTTTGTGCCTACCGGCCATTTCTGCAATTAGCCTTGAGATTAGCCAGCTGTATCACAAGGACGCAGAATGAATCGATGAAATCAGGATGATCGGCAGGCCCTCCGTGGGGGCTCGAGATGGCAACAGCTCTTTAGGATTGGGGGAAGCGTCAGATGCCCAGAAAAGACCTCCAAAGACTTCTGCAAATATTCACTCCCGCAATTAAGCTATTCACGTATGTGACTGAGAGCATCAACGTTCTGCCCTAGCTGAGAGCCCGCCAGAAGAGCCGTGGGCGGGAGGGAGGCTGCTGTGGTGCAGGCCGGCCCTGGGCACGGGCGGGCGGGCCAGGCAGAGCAGGGTGTTGGGTAGAGATCCTGTTGCTACACCAGGAGCAGGTCCCTAGGTGGGCGTGGCTGTGCATTCCCCTTGCAGCAACCTGTCCTGGGCAAGAAGCAGCACAGGAATAAGACCACTAGTCTGCCGGTCGGCTGTGTTTGGGGTCCGGGAGAGCCCAGTGAACACGTGCCCCCGAGGCGGTACCCCCTGGGCGCAAGGAGTCGCTGTGGAGAAGATGAGCGGGAAGTAGCCAGACTCTGAGAACTGGGAAGGAGGAGCATCCGCAGCGGCTACTTTGCCTCCCCCACGGAGGCGAGTACTCTCCCCATCCAAGTGTCTGGTCTGTGTCCTCATTAACCGCTTTAGCACGCAGCCGAGGTAGTCTAGATCCCTTTGCATCCTTGGAGACATTAGCATTCGCCAACAGGCAAGTGCCACCACCTCTGTGGAGCCCTCCTGACTTTTCCGGGCAATGGGCTGTTCATTTTCTGAGCGGCTTTTGGGATGCAGGTTGCGGCACTGTGTTGTAATAGCCTCCAGACATGCCTGTCTTCTCCCCGGTGTGTCAGCGGCTGGAGGGTGGGGCGTGGCTACAGCGTAGCCCCGCCCATCCCAGGAGGCAGGTGATAAATGCCCATGAAGAAGAGAGCAGGGCAGAAATGAGTGAATGGGAGCCTATGACCTAAGATCTAGTGGTATAGAGTACCCAGACTAATTTCTATGGGGCTAATGAGATAAATTCACATTCTGCTTCCCAAAGGATCTCCTAAAAAAAGCTCAAAGTTGACCTGGGCCTCACCTTGGACAAGAAACCCAAACCAAAACCAAACCGACGACAACAAAAACCCTTAGCACATTTAGAAATCTGTAGTTTACCAAACCAAAGATGAAAAGAAGGAACAATTTCATTGAAACTAGGGCCAGGCTCTCAGGGAGGTATGACCTATTTCCTCCGCACCCAGAAGGATTTCCCTACACTTTGCTGATTTTTCAGTTCATTTTATTATCATGACTAAAATTATACCAAATTAGAAGTATAAATTCATTTAGGTAAACAAATATTCTCTGCTAAAATTAAATGCCACATTAAAGGTTCATGTGCTAGCAATCCTTCATACCTTAATGTGGATGAACTGACGAGTTTGCTCTCCTAATAGTTGAGATCAGTTGGATTCTGCCGAGGAAAAAATCGGAAATGTCAAGGTTAAAGAACCTCAAAGATTAAAAGCAGCCTGTGTGAACTCCATGACTGAAAACTAGGGCAGAGGTAAATATTTGTTTCAGCTTGGCCACAAGGGCGCTCGAAGATAGAAAGAAAAAAACCTGATGTATGAGGATCCCTTGGGTGTCCTGAGCTTGGGTGCAGCAAGGAAATTCTCCTCTTTCTTCTTCCCTCTCTCGACCTTACTCTGAGGGCACACAGCTAAGTCTGGGTTCACTAGTTCTGCATCTAGAGTGCGTGGAATTGGACTGACGAGGCTGGAACTCTATCACTTATAAGAGAACTTCTATGGGCCAAAGTTTGCGGCGGAGAGGACCAGTTTGTAAACATAGTTTTGGACCCCAAGTCCTTCCCAGTCTGAGGTCAGCCTCTCTGTCCGTTCCCATCAACCCAGCTTGACTAATAATAGGCGAAAGATAAATTTTAGTGATGTATTTATTATTTTAATGAGTTTATCACTTGAGAACTCTGGACATAGCACCGAGTCCACTAATTAGAAGAAAAGTTTACATAAGTGTTATGTAAGTGATGACCAAGTCTTCCTACCTAGTAAGGAAACACGCTGTCTCGTACTTGAGGGTGGAGGAAGGAGGGAGAAGCACTTTGAGTGAGGGAAATGTAAGGAGGCAGAGATGCAAACCATGCCTTCAGTGGGCCGTGAATCTACTCACCATCCCACGGTCACGGAACACCTACTCTGTGCCGGGGTCAGGGATGGAAAGGGAATAGTCACACTTCCTCTCCTTCGTTCGACTCTAGCTGGAGGTACGGGAGCCCCAAAGACAAAGTTATCTCCAGTGTGTTGAATACGGAACCATATAGGAGGCCTGTGGAATGTTCTGTGTCTCCCATTGACCCAGCCCGGTGGTGGGGTGGGGGAGTGGTCAGGGATACTCCCCGCAGAGGATGGAACTGGGACTTCAGAGGACATATGACAAACAGAGTGGTTGGAACTGAAAGGCAACCAGATGGCCAGCCAAGGTCACCTTTGTGTCGTCGCCTGAACTCCTTACAAACGCCTGCAGCGTCACGTATTGGAACCTGCTCTTGTCGTCGCCACACACTGGACAATCCTCTGGGCTGGAGTGTGCGGTGTCTGGTGCCCTGGATGGGAGGGTGACCTAGGCCCTACTGGTGCAAGAAACAAGAAATACTGTCCTGTGGTCTGCACTGCTTTTTGTGGTGGTGGTTGTTTTTCAGCATAAGCGTTTGTAACGATGCCCACCTCCTTCTTCTTCCTTCAGCCATGCTCCCACTGCCTGGCTTCCCGAGCCGAGGCTGCTCAGGACAGAGGGAAAATGGCAGTCGTGAGTGGCAGCCACCTCAGGCTGCTGCTAAATGAGTGGAGAGGTGGGCTTCGTTTCTCTTTGAAGCTGAAGGGTGCTGTTTGGATGAGCTGATAGAGGGACAGGGGTGTTCTACTAGGGACCACCTTTGTGAGTCCTGCAAGGCAGCCACACTTCAGTTCAGCCTTTCTTCCCCCAGTCTGGGCGGGGCAGGCAGGGTACTGACAGGGACCAGGCGGGCGCCCCTCTGCCTGTTTCTGGGGCTCACCCTGTACCCCGCAGGCCCTGAGGCTCACAGGAATTCTATAGCGCCATGGTCTCTGGGAGGAAAGAAGATGGGGTTTGGAATTGGAGTACCTGTGATGGGATCTGCCTTTGCCGCTTACGGCTCTGGGTGGCTCTGGTGAAGTCACCCATGTATCTGATCAGGAGCTTCATTTCCCCCAACTGTGAGAAACAGGCACAATGAGCCCACTGCTCCCGACTGCTGTGGGGATCTGATGAGACCCTGTGGAAGCACAGGGCATATCTTTCGAACGACATTTAATAAATGTGTTGTATCGGAACTGCTGCTATTGTTTTTTGAATGAGAGGTTAGTGCTGACTCAGCCACGGATCAGAAAAGCAGGAGAGGTTTTTAAGAAGGGGGTTGGTAGAGATAAGCCCTTTCCCTTGCTATTGAAAGGGTAAAAATGCCAAGCTGTTGTTCTCGCGAAGTGTGGGTAAAAAATAATCATAAGCAGCTGAATAAATTTGCCATGAGTCAGGTGGGAACGGTCAGTCTGCTGCAAACACGAGGTCGGCTCGTGGTGGCCACGCCACGTGAATCCACAGCTCGCTAGTGGGAGTTACGTGGGGGTTACCTGCTACTTCTTGACTGTGTTTCTGGCTCTTAAAAGCAAGTACAAGGAAGCAGATTTTTTTTTTTTAATTTTAAGAATATTTCGTCATTTATTTTTTATTTTTTTATTTTTTTATAGTATGTGCCCCTTGCGGGAACCGAACCCTGCACTCTGGTCCACAGGCCGATGCTCCAACCGCTGAGCCAAACCGGCCAGGGCTCCTCAAGTCTTTTGATTAGAATATTAATACCTTCTCAAGCTTTTAGGCAAGCCAAAATCAATCTAATTAAATTGTTCATTACAAGCTCCTTTTTTTAAATGAGTTTGCAATCTAAAGAACAAAAATACCCCATAGTTTCCGATGATAATAAAGAGAGAACTAAAAGACCAAGTAATTATATTTTGGAATAATCTTCATTCAAAGTGTCTGCATCCTCAAATGCAAAAAGAGCAGGCTAGTGTTTGCAAGTTGTTTGCTTAGTGCCGGACAGCTCAATAAACCATCGCGTCCGAGTCCTTTTTATTGCTCCTGTCAACGATTCAGACTTCAGAAAGGACTGCTCCCACTCCGGGTGTGCCCCCCAGTAACG